CCAGCTTTACACCAGAGCACCACCCAAGCGCAGGAGCACACGCCGCTCCCCATAAAATCAACTCTTTACAAAGACGGAGTCGACCCCAAGCCACGCAGGCGCAGAGACCGGGGCCACGACACGGTGTGCACCCGAAGGCACTGCCCAGACCCAGTGGACAGCAGCCTGGCCCGGGCTCCTCGGCCTCCAGCTGGAGCCCAGGTGGAAGGAAGAGTGAGCTCGCGCAGACATGGAGATCCTTGCTGAGCCGCGGCCTACGTGTCCCGTCACAGGAACCAGGCTCCCGGCACCTCAATTCTGCCCCAACTCCGGGCCTTTCTCCTTCAGTTATCTTTCCACACTGTGGGAGACAATCAACCTCCTCAAAGTCCGCAAGTTTAACCAAACTGGGGAAAAGCTTCTATCCCCCCGTAAAGATTATGGTTCTCTATACCTTCCAAGCAGCCTGGTGGTACAGTGGTTAAGCACTTGGCTGCTAACCAAAAGGTCGGTGGTTCAAATCCACCAGCCGCTCCTTGGAAACCCTATGGGGCAGTTCTGCTCTGTCCTATAGGCTCACTATGAGTTGGAATCGACTTGATGACAGGAGGTTTTTTTTTTTTTTTTGGTTTATACCTTCTAAATCTCTGAGGGTAAAACAGAGCAAAGAAGATTCTATTAATAGAACATAAAGCAGAAGAAAATGGGGCGAAGTAAAAAACAGCTGGAACATACGATAAACAAGGACATAATTTAGAATGGCAGCTTTAACAAGACCAAAATATCAACAATCTCGGTAAAAGTGAACGAGCTGACTCTCAGATTGGATCCAGTCCAAGTTCCCACTGCCATCGAGCTGGTTCCGACTCATGACGACCCCACATATGTCAGAGTAGAACTGTCTCCACAGGGTTTTCAATGGCTGACTTTCCAGAAGCAGATCGCCAGGTCTTTCTTCCAAGGCTCCTCTGAGCAGGCTCAAACCTCCAGCCTTTTGGTTAGCTGCTGAGCACATTAACCATCTGCACCACCCAGGGACTCCTTCAGACTGGATCGAACACAACTAAGCAAAATCTGGCCCAATACTGTTGACACAAGACAGCTAAAAGAAAACAAAATGCCCCAGGAAAAGCCTGGTTCTGGCTGGAGGGCTAACCGGGTGGCTCTGGGGAGACAGTGATAAATGCAATCAGGTTATGCAATGTTTGCCTGCACGGGGCTGAAAGAACAGAGGTCCACAAACCGAGGCCTGGGGAGGTGCTGGTCTCTTACAGAATCGCTGTCTGCGGGCCTGGCCAAAGGGAAGCACTTGGAGGCCATCTCTCAGACTTCACTTAGACTTAAAACATCCTCTCCCACCTCTCTCAGCCAAAGAGGGCACCTGGCCCTCCCTGGGCTGTAACAGACACCCAGCGCTCACCCTGACCTAGATGTTCTCTCTTCTCTGAGAGCTCAGCTCAAACCCAGCAAGCACAGCCACCACCATGGGGCTCATCCAACATTCTCTTTACTCAAAAGCACTTCAAGGTGCTGAAAGTATTCTAATCAGCAGGAAGCCTCGTTAAGAAGCAAGATTCTTAAATTCCACACAAGATTCTTAAATTCCATGATTTGCTAGGTGGTTTTGACCGAGCTGGGACACTCAGCCAGGCCCAGGAGCCCCCTCCCAATGCAATGTTGTAGCAGGAGACTGCTGCTGCTTTTGTTAACGTATTCGGTGGTTAGCTTTCTCAGGCAGGAATCTCCCCAGCTTCTAATTACAAACAATGTGCTGGGATTGGTTCTCTTCCAACCAGGTAACCCTTCTGTACTCTGGGCGTCCCACAGGAGAGGCCCAGGCTACACACCCTCAGGGTCTCAACAAGGGTTGGTGGGACACCGAGGGGAAGATTTCTGGAATGGGGCAGGGGAGTGGAAGGCCGGATCAGGGTGTTAGAAAGATAGTTCAGAGCGGGAGCTGCTGTTAGCTGCCGTGGAGTCGATTCTCACTCAAGGCGACCCCATGTGCGCATGGAAGAATGCTCCTCAGGGTTTTCAAGGCTGTGAGTTCCAGGCCCGTCTTCCAAGGCGCCTCTGGGTGGGTTCGAACCAGCAACTTTTCAGTCTGGAGCTCGTAACTCCTTCACCCAAGGACTCCCAGAGAGGGACTAAAACGGAATTCATTCATTCATTGGTTTGCTCATTCATTCCACAGTCAATAAGTGCCACAAACATACAATGCGAAGCTGAGAGACTGCGTCTGAACCCACAGTCTGGCTGGGGTTACAGACAGGTAAACGGAGGACTGTGAAGGCACGGGACCAGTGAGAGAGAGTTGTATTCTGGGTACCCAGGAGCAGCTCCCCCAGCCTGGGGGGGGGGAGGGGAGGAAAGAGGGTGGAAGTCTGGGAGCTGCCTGGGGGGAGTGAGGAGATAGGGAGACAAGGGGGGGAGCCTGGCAGAAGTGTTTATTGGCTATGCAGGGCTAGAAGAGGGCTCTGACCCCCAGTCTCAAGCTGAGCCGGAAATCTCCCAGACTGGAGTGAGCAGGGCCAGGGGGATGGGCAGGTGCAGAAAGGCAGGCAGCCCAGCACAGCAGCCCAAAGGGCTGGGAAAGTTGTCCTTTCCTCCATGCTGGGCCACCCAGCCGACCTCACTCTGGCCTCAGTTTCCCCGCTGCACCTCGAGGAGAAAGAAGTCAGAGACTTTGAGCTCTGGGGATGAAAAGTCTGCAGGAGTCCAGACCACTGCTCCCCATAAAACAGGGCGGATGACGCTGACCTCTCCTTGGCAGGTGAGTAGCCGGATCACCCCTGAAGATGAAACACGCTCAGGTCTAATGAGGAGTCCACCGCTGAGGTGGGAGCGGGGCTGGGCTGCAGGGGAGCCCCTGTTCCCGCACCAGGCCACTCCCTTCCAGAACAGAAGCCAGCCCAATGGGACTAGAGCGCGTCTCATTTCTAACTTCTCAGGCCCCTGGCTACTTCAGTGCAGACCATGTGCACCCCACCAGCTCCCCTCCCAGTCCCTCCCTGCTCCCCAGGGGGCAGTGCTTTGTCTCTTGCTCCAGGCTGCAGTTAAGGCACTCTGCCTCACTAGTCCCCATTCAATGCCCTGGGTGGCTCAGCGGTAGAGCTCTCACCCTCCATGCGGGAGACCCCGGTTTGATTCCCAGCCAATGCACCTCAAGCACAATCACCACCTGTCAGTCAGTGGAGGCTCACGCGTTGCCGTGATGCTGAACAAGTTTCAGGGGAGCTTCCAGACTAAGATGGACTAGGAATAAAGGCCTGCCAATCTACCTCTAAAAATCAGCCAGTGTAAACCCAATGGATCCCAACTGTCTGAGCCGCAACCGATCATAGGGATGGCATGGGATCAGGCAGCACTCTGTTCTGTTCTGTTGTGCGTGGGGTCCCCATGAGTCAGGGCCCAACCTGGTAGCAGCTAGCAACAGCCAGAGCCAAGACATGAGGTGGCTCTGTGTTTCCAGGCCAGACAGGCCATTATACGTCAGCTGACCAGGGGAGGCTTGGCACAGCCTCCTTCATGTGCGTGAGAAGAGTTTTCAGAGTGCAAGATACCCTCGGCCCACTTATTCCCCTCTTTTCCCGGGCTGTTGAACAGGTATCTTCTGCCACCAGATGGGCACTGAAACAAAGGATCTCTGGCCTAGCGGTATGGTACTCCTGCTAGGTGAGGTCACAGGTGGGGCCCCAAGGTGCCTAGAGGTCACACTTCACCTTGGCCAGGCATAAACCTCTTCTTTTCTCTCCCACCACTGCCCTTCTTCCTTCCCCCATGCCCAAACCAAGGCCTGCCCACCTGTGCCCTGTTCAGTCAGACCAGCAGCACTGGCTTCCCTTAGCCACACCTCCCAGGGACTGACCCCCACCTCCCTTCTAGAGGCCTGGACACACCGGAGTTGGCCTCCATTACCAGCTCTGGTTTCCCGGGAAATACTTGGCAAAGGAGAAGGGAGCACGCCGACAGCTCACCCTCCCCTGGGAGGCAGCAGCCACACAGATGCACTAATATTAGGCACAGCTGAATGATAACCTTCCTCCCATGTTCCAGAAGAGAAGCATACACCTGGGGATCACCCGATCTTCTTAGCAGCTAATTTGTGTTCATTAAGTAATTAATTTGTGTATCTGATCTGCAGAAGGATGCCCAAAGGTTGGACTTCTGGACCATCAGCTTTCAATCTCTGACAAGCTTTCGGAATTATCACCTCCCTAAATTAGGAAGATCCTTATCTCCAGGCCTCTTCCCCAGTTCCCAGGAACAGGAGAACTCCCCATGGATCTAGGCTTGGGACTCCCACTCTGAAGCCCGCAGGCCACCATCCCTGCTCTGAGCATCACCTCAGGAACCTACAGGCTGGGCCGCACCATTCCAAGCCCCACAACCCCCAGGTTCTGGCGCGTCTCGTTGGCCCTGACTCCCTCCCACCAAAGCATGCTTTCAGGGACGCTGGGCAATGCCTGGAGAGTCAATTAGGAAGAACTGGGGAAAGGCCACGGACTTGGCCTCCGTGACAACCACAGCAAAGAAAACAGAGCAGTGAGGCCCAGCTTTGCCCTAGAAAATGGGCATCTCAGGTGGAGACAGGACCTTGCCCTTCTTTCCCACACCCCCATCCCACACCCATAGCAGCAACGAGCTCCTGCATCCTCTCTGAACTGTGCAACCATATTAACTGAGAAAGAACACGAAGCAAACAGAGCCACGGCGGCTGTAAAGGATGCAGCAGAACATGCTAGCAGAGCCAGGCACATGCGACCTGCACACCTTTGCACCCAGCACCCACTGCACCTCCGTGAGGGGTGTGGGCACAGACACTGATTACAGGCTATGGGAGATAATGAGCACCTCCTGCAACAGAGGGGAGGCAGCTTGTTGGTATCTGCCCTGCGTGGCCCCGGGGCGTCAGGAGGACTGGCAGGAGCCAGGAGCCGGGTTCCCGCGAGGTGGCCAGCCCTGCGGTCCTCCGCTTCGGGTGAGTACCCTGGCGGGGGCAGGCATGTGCTGGTGCTTACCTTGTGGTCGAGCTCGGCGCTGGCCTTCGGCTGTTTCTCCTGGCAGGATGGCAAGGTCCCAGGGCTGGCGCGCAAGTGCTGCCTGAGGGAGGACGGCCTCATGAGGCTCAGGAGCTGGCTGAGCGAAGACAGCTGGGGAGGAGAAAGGGAGCCATCACTCACAGAGGGCGGCAGTGGACACTCAAGGCGCCCGGGGGCTCAGGTCTGGACACCTCTGTGGGCAGCACCGGGTCAGCATGCAGGCTCTGCAGTCAGACTGCTGGCTTCAAGACCCACAGCCACCTCGCCCCTAAGGATGTGACCCAGGGCAAGCTATTAGCCTGTCGGAGCCTGAATGTCCTCGGCTGAAGGATGGAGACGAGTAGGGCATCTTCTTGTGAGGATGGAGAGTCACTCACACTCACACACATTCATACATACACACACTCACAAATAGACACACACACACTCACATACACAACACACACCTCACTCAACACAACTCATACACTCAAATACAAACACCTACACACACACATACACACAACACACACCACTCATAACACTCATACTCTCACACACACACAACTCCCACACATATGCTCTCATACATACACTCAACTCACACCCACAACTCACACACACACACTCATACATACACTCATACACACCCACAACTCATACACACACAACTCCCACACACATGCTCTCATACTCATACATACACACAACTCACACCCACAACTCACACACACTCACATACATACACTCATACATACACACAACTCACACCCACAACTCACACATACACAACTCACACACATACATACACTTACACATACACACAACTCACACCCACACACACACTCATACACACAACTCACACCCACAACTCACACATACACAACTCACACACACACATACATACACTCATACACACAACTCACACCCACAACTCACACCCACATATATACACTCATACATACACACAACTCATACACATACACAACTCACACACACACACATACACACAGAACACTCATTCATACACACATGCACGCACGTGCACAACTCACACAACTCACCCTCACACACATACATACACTCATACACATACACACAACTCACACATGCTCTCACAACACACACTCATACAACACACTTATTCTCACACTCAACATGCATGCACACACAACTCAACTCACACTCATACATACACTCACACAACACACCACACTCATCACACACACACATGCACACACACGCCTCACACTCACAACTCATACACCCACACACACTCATACACTTATACACACACATAACACACACCACACTCGTAACATACCCACACACAACTCACACATACTCATGCTCTCACTCATACACAGACACACACACACACTCAACATACAACTCACACATACACTCACACACACACACAGTGGCACGCACAGTGCCTGGCACTCCCTCGAGAGGTGAGCGATGATGCTCCCCTTCGGCTGGAGGCTGACTACTTCCCTGGAGTAAACGGGCACTCAGGGCTAGAAGGATGAAGACTGGGTGACTGGGTGACAGGGTCTCCCCTGCCACTGGGCAAGACACTTCCCACCCTGGGCTGCTGTTCCCCATCTGTTGGCTCACTCCCCTTCCCACCCCTGCCTTTTCATTTACTGTGGGGATTTTAAACAAACACGCAAGAAGCTAACTGACCCCCCCCCATCAGGCCCATCCTTCCGGTTTCATCTCTTCTCCTCCCCCCTTCACCACCCCTCCCTTTCCCCCACTTGTCTCCCAAGTGTGTTAAAGCAAATCCAAACATCATATCCTTTTCCCCTAAAGAGCTTGTAACAGAAAAGCGTAAGAATTTTTTCCCCAATACAACTGAAATACTATTATCATGCCCAATAAAATTACCAAGAATTCTTTAGTATCACCTAACACCTGTGTTCGGTTTTCTCTGATTGTCTCAAAAATACCTTTTCACGCGTGGTTTGTTTAAATGAGGATTCTCCACAAGGTCCACACATTGCATTTGGTGGATGTTATGAACTGTGTCCCCAAAAAATGTGTTGTAAATCCTAACTTCTAGGCCTGTGGTTATAATCCTACTTGGAAATGGGTTGTCTTTGTTATGTTAATGAGGCAAGATTAGCGTAAAGTGTGTTTTGAGTCAGTCTCTCACAAGGTATAAAATGAGCAGACCAAGCAAGCTGAGATGGGGGAAGGCTGATGCCAAGACACACGGACATCGCCAAGGAACCAGGAAACAGAAGCTGAAGAGACAAGGACCCTTCCCCAGAGCTGACAGAGAGAGAATGCCTTCCCCTAGAGCCGGGGCCCTGAATTCGGACTTCTAGCTTCCTAAGCTGTGAGAAAATAAATTTGTTTGTTCAAGCCATCCACTTGTGGTATTTCTGTTACAGGAGCACCAGATAGGGAACTAAGAGTGGATACGTCACTTAATCTACAAGCTTCTCCACCCCGACCAGCCCCACAATTTGTTTTTTTTGGAGAAACCACCCACCCTCTCTGAACAAATGGGCTGTGGACCCCTTGGGAGGGACTGTGGCCTGCATCAATCCAGATGTCCACAGCCTTCCACTTCTTCCGGCCCTGCCCATATGCGGGGTTTGGACAGCCTTGGCCTGGCCCCTGCATACACACACTGTTAAATCCTGTCTGGGATGCGGGGAGGCAGCAGGCTCTGAGCGCCTGGCTCCTCTCAGGCCACAGGAAACCTGGGGTGGGGGAGAAGCAGGGGGGAAGGAGCAGAGCCAGGGCAGTTCACAAAGGCCTCTCTCTTTAGATCTGGCAGGTGTGGGCCGGGCCAAGCCCCCAGCCTGGCTGCCTGATGGAGCCCAGCCCTGCCTGGCACACCTGGCTTCCTCGCGGTGATTCACCGCAGACACCTGCGCAGCGCTGAGGGCAGCTGCAGGCTCAGACAGCCCAGGTCTCACAACAGCAGCTGGGCTGGGGGCTAGGAGTCAGGCATCTGGCTCCTGGAAGTGGGCCAGAGCTGCTCAGCCGGTGTCTGCTCCCTTAGAAAGGGAAGGAGAGGAGGGTGCAGGGGGAGATGGAAGCTTCTGGGCCAGAGAGGCACTGTCTGCAGCATCACTAACACCACAGTCCTGCCTGCCCGGCTCCGGCCTCGGAAGTCTGGGGAGTAGTTTCCAAAACAGCCCTGCCCATTCGGGGCTCCCAGCTGTGCAAATGCAAGAGCCAGGCTCTGCGGCCCGCTCCGGAGCAGGCCCTCCGAGCCAGGCCTCGCCCCCAGCTGCTGGCCGCAGACCGCCCTGCTACGGGAGCTGGGGGTGGGGCTGCGAGGAGCTCAGTGACAGCCTGCCTCGTCCCGTGTCCTCCCCTCACTCCATGAAAACAGCTTCAATCTGCCAAGAGCCGCAGGCTGCCTCTCCCTCCTCTGCCCTACTATCTTCAGATGGCTTATTTTCTTCTGTTTCTAGCTGGGGGCAGCCACAGCCAGCCCGTCTGCCACAGGCACACCCTCTTGGGGATCAGGGCTTATTGGGGCCCTGTGAGTCCCAGGGGGACAGGAGCCTGACCAGCGCCCTCCCCACCCCCACTGCGGGCAGGTGTCTGCAAACACAGCCTGCTGGTGAGGGCAGAGGCCTTCAGGCGAGAAGCAAGCGATCACCAAGGAGAGAGGCCCTCCAGCAGCCTCTGGGCCGGTCAGTTCGGCCGGCAAGAGGAAGACACCGATTCCAGTGAGACAGCTGTCCACTCAGCACGCCACTGAAGCGCCTGAAGCCAGCAGAGCACCTGTTCACCCAGGGGAGACGGTGCAAGTCTCCTGTCGGGAGGCCCTGGCTGGGCTGGCCGCTTGACCTCTGGGAATGCTTCTCTTCCATTGTGCCCCGGCACCCTCCACCCCAGCCACGGTGACCTGCTGCTGCTCCCTGAAGCCCTGGGCCTTCTGACCAGATACTGCAAAGGCACCCTTCTGCTTCCACCACGTTTGCTGCAGGCCCACCTTCTCAGGGGGCAGCCACACCACCCCATACATGCCAGGCCCCTCACCCAGCTGTGCTCCCTTTTTTCCCTCCACAGCCTTCACTGCCTTCTAACGTGCTGTGTACCTATTCTTGTTTATTACGTGTGTCCTTTATCTGTCCCCACTCCCTCACCTGAATGGAAGCACCACGAGGGCAGTTTTACTTTGCAGTATCCTCAGAACCTGGCACACAGGATATGTTTAATAAATACTTGTCAAGTGAATGAATAAACGAACAAATGAATGAATAGCAGCTTGGGACTGCAGCTAACCTGCCCCTAGCAGATGCGAAGCCTTATCCCCCCTGGTTTAGGCCATTTGCAGCCCATGTTTTCCAAACTCCAAACTGGAAGACATGATCTGACATGAGATTTGCTGTGTTGCAAGAAGTGGGCTGGGATAAGCATGTCCAGAACCCAGCTCCTGACTTCCTCCCCAACCCTGCTCCAGCTGGGTCCTGCCTGTCTCGCTCAGCAAAGGGCAACTCCGCTCTACCAGTTCCACATACCCTGGAGTCCGTCTTGCCTCTTCCTCTCGCTTCCCACATCCTGCTGGCTGTGCTTGGGAAATCCATTTAGAGTCTGACCACTTCTCACCACCTACTCTGTAACCTCCCCAGGCCAAACCGCCATGTCTCTCACCAGGATTACTACAATCGCCTCCCAGCTGGTCTCCCAACTTCCTCGGGCCCCCAACAGTCTATTCCCGACACAGCAACCACAGTCTGAGTTAGTGGACTATCAGCTACCACTAATGGGGAGCACGTAGCAGGTGAGAAGGGGGCCCCCCACAGTCAAAGCTTTGTGCAGAAGGAGGGGTGGGCTCTGCCCTGGGAGGAGGGCCAAGAAGAGCAGGCAGGGCTGGGGCAGACGGTGTTGAGGACACGTTGGGAAAGGGGCCTGTGGACTTTCATGGGCAGCTGTTGGGCTGAGGGCAGGCCCTCTGAAGGTGTGTCGGAGATTCAATTCACCTGACAGGACTGGAAAGAGAAGCCACTGGAGCCAGACACCTGTGAGGAGGCTGTGAGCGAGCCAGGCCCCAGGCAAGGAGGGTCTGCCTGCAGGGGAGGAGGGGACGGAGCAGGCCATTCCTGTCCTTCCCTCTCTCTCAGCTGCCACGTGTCCCTCAGGACTTTGCACATCCTGTATCCTCTGCTTGGAAATCCTCGCTTTGCTGTACAAGTACCTGCTCACCTTCTCTGGCAGACACTTCTCTGCCTCAGCCCCTGGCTCCTCCCATGCCCTCTGTTCCGAGGGTCATATGGGCTCTGTCACCCTACCCCCCGTGAGTGGTGCCCCCACACAGCTGCTCCTCAGCACCTAGCTCCCAGCCTGGCACACAGGAGGTACTCAGTGAATGTCTCAAGGACAGTCGGACAGAGAAGTGGGTGTACAGGCAGATGGACGGACTTGTGTCCTGGAAAAGCCCTGGAGCTATGGATGACCAAGGCAGGGGTGGACCCGGCTCCCCACTGCCTGGCTGTGCAGTCCAGCCCAGTCATGCCCAGGCTTCTACACGAGCATGTGCCCAACAGTGCCCTTCACACTTCTTTTGGGGTCAGCTGAGAGCTCCTGGGGTCAGCTCTCTGGTAGGTCGCCTGTCTTCCTGTCAGCTCCCCTTTCAGGCCCAAGCAACCCTGTTCTTCCTCCGTGATCCTTCCCCTTGCCTCTCTGTGGCCTCCACTGGGAACACAGCCCCCCAAATTCCCCTACTCTCCTACACACAGGTTCCGGCCAAGAAAAAACAAATCAAAACCATACCCCAGACCTTGAGCTGACCCTGACACTCCGAGCAACCCTGTCTTTCCAGGCGCTGCTTCTGGGTGAGTTCCCCCCACCCACCCCTTGCTTCCCATCCTCCTTTCTCCTAACCCTGATGGTATGGCCTCTGCCCTCCACTCTGCTGACACCGCGCTTTGCTCTCTGCTGGGCTCGGTCCCTGCCTCTAGCTAAGGCCAATCCCTCTCTGTTAGGCTGCCTTCCTGATACACACACTGCCTACTAGTCTGTCTCTCCTCTCCCCCTCTGCATCTCTGCCCGCCCCTCCCCCTTCTCTGCCCCCTCATCACACTGCTCAGCCCCTCTGTTCTCTCTTCATTGCAGAGATGCTCTGCTGTCAAGTGACCCTTGTGCAGGTCACTCCCTCATCGGCCCCTCCCAAGGCCTCCACCTGTCCTGGAGTTGAAGTGACTCTTGTGCAGGTCACCTCCTCACCAGCCCCTCCTCCCAAGGCCTCAGCCTGTCCTGGAGTTGGCTTGGGGTACATTCTCCCCTGGGCACCCTGACAACTTGCCCTCAGTGTTCATTCACCCCACAGATGTGTACTGAGTCCACAGCACGTTCCAGGCACTGTGCTAGGTGCCAGGGGCAGCGGTGAACAGAAAAAACAGGGTCCCTGCTCTTAAAGAGTTCTACTGGGGAGTGGGCAGGATCACAGAACACAGACCCTGAACAAATAAATAAGAAAATGCCTGGAGGCGGAAGCCATGGAAAATTTAAAACAGGTTGACAGTGACGGGTGATGGACACTTTGGGTTGGGAGGTCAGGAGGGGTCTCCCCGAGGAGGCGACATTTCAGCTGGAATCTGAATGACAAGAAGCTCCAGCCACGCCAAGTCCAAGGGCAAAAGCACTCAAGGCAAAGGGGGCGGCCAGGGTAAGAGGAAGGCCGAGCTCACGCTGACACCCAGCCCATCTGGTCACCTTCCTGAGCTCTCCCTCATCCCATGGAGTCACAGTCAGCTCCTCAGAATCAGCCAGCCTATGTCTTCCTCTCCCTGGGATGTGCTGGAACCCTCCTAGCACCCTGGGCAGAGGGGGTCACGGGCTCCGTGCAGTACAAGAGACGCACAACCCTGGGCCCTAGAGTGCCTTGCCCCTCTGGTGTCGCTGGGCCTCAGGGTTGTTTTACCTAGCAATTCTTCTGAGACCCCAGGGAGATTCCAGGGAAGTGGACAGCATTCTCAGAGTCCTAGTGGTGCAGTGGTTAAGAGTTTGGCTGCTCACCAAAAAGCTGGCAGTTGGAATCCACCCGCCGCTCCTTGGAAGCCCTATGGGGCAGTTCTACCCTGTCCTGTGGGGTCGCTATGAGTCGGAAATGATTCGAGGGCAGTGGGTTGAGAGCATTCTTAATTTTCCTGACATCCATCCTGGGCTGGCAGTGACCCATGCTGCCCCCAGGGCCACTGAAGTGATGTTCTCTCAGCTGCAAGGAGGTTGTAGCTGGAGCTTCTTGGAGAGAAGAGGAATGGGGAAGGAGGATCAAACTCCAACGCCCTTGCTGCCTAAAGAATGCCTAACCCCAGGGCAGAAGGGACACTGCAAGTGTGCAGCTTTGATTTAATAAGTTCTTTTAAATTTTTGTTGTTTTCCTACCTATAAAAAAGTAACCAACGCTCCCAGTTCACTGCTGCATCCTCAGAGCCCAGCGTGCACTAGTACACGTGCAGAAAATATTTGCCGAATGGAGGACTGTGATTAACAAACCAAACACAGCCTAGCTCTCCTGGTCTGAGCCTCCCAAGCTTTGGGAAAAGCATCAGCAGTGGGCAGGCTGTGGACAGAGCTGCTCACCCACCCACAGGCATGTGACAGCCCCTCCGAGGGCTGAGACTCACCTGGGTCTTCTCTTGCCAGAGAGGGAGCGTCTCTTGCTGGCCCAGCATCTGGGCAATGACCATGAGGCTGAGTTGGCTTCGAACCTGCCTGTGAGAGAGGAGCAGGGAGGACTCAGGGAGCAGAGCCATCTGCACGAGGGTGGGCGTGAAGCCCAGGTGCTCCTGCAGGGCGCAGGGTGTGCACAGAGACCGCCCCTCCACCTGCGGACCACTGCTAAGGGCCTTTTCCTTTGGTTTAGAGCAGTCATCACTTATTACATACAGCAATAAAATGTTCATGATAGGAAAGCGAAAACATAAGCAAAAAGAACAAAGCTGATGAGGGCTGTGGGGACCATGCTCTTGGGGAACATCTAGCTCAATTGGCATAACACAGTTTATAAAGACAACGTTCTACATTCTACCTTGGTGAGTAGCATCTGGGGTCTTAAAAGCCTGTGAGCAGCCATCTAAGATACTCCACTGGTCTCACTCCTTCGGGAGCAAGGGAGAATGAAGAGAACAGGATACAAGGAAAAGATCAGTCCAAAGGACTAATGGACCACAGCTACCAAGGCCTCCACCAGACTGAGTCCAGTACAGCTGGATGTTGCCTGGCTACCACCACTGACTGCTCTGACTGGGATCACAACAGAGGGTCCTGGACAGAGCTGGATAATGATGTAGAACAAAATTCTAACACACAAAAAAAGACCAGATTTACTGGCCTATCAGAAACTGGAGAAACCCCGAGAGTATGGCCCCCATATACCCTTTTAGCCCAGTGAAATCACTCCCGAGGTTCACCATTCAGCCAGGGGTTGGACACCTCCATAAAACAAAACGGGACTAATGAGGCACAGCAGTCCAGGGACAAGGACTAGAAGGCAGGAGGGGACAAGAAAGCTGGTGATAGGGAACCCAAGGCTGAGAAAAGGACAGTGTTGACATGTCGTGGGGTCGTTAATCATCGTCATAGGGCCATATGTGTACTGGTTAATGAGAAACTTTTTGTTCTGTAAACCTTCATCTAAAGTACAAAAAAAAAAAAAAAAGAATTATCTGTGTGAGATCAAATTGATAAGAGCAACTCAAAACGTTTGATGGGAAGCCTAGGGAACAGTGAGTTGAAGATAACGGTGATGGAATAATTTGGAAAAGGAGAGTGAGAATAGCAGCAAAACTGGAAGAATGCAATCGATGTCACTGAATTGTACATGTAGAAATTTTTAAAATGGTGTATATCTTTGGCTATGTATATTTTCACCAAAAAAAAAAAAAAAGGTCCTCTAAGCTTGAGAAGGGAGAGTGCTGACATGTCATGGGGTTGTTAACCAACGTCATAAAACATTATGTGTACTGACTGTTTAATGAGAAACTATTTGTTCTGTAAACCTTCACCTACAGTACAATAAAAAAAAAAAAAAAAGCCAAAATTCCAGAGGTTAGCAAATTAGCATCTTAGTTTATATACATATGCATATATATCATATGGAGCCCTGGTGGCACAGTGGCCAAGAGGCAGCTGCTAACCAAAAGGTCAGCAGTTCAAATCCACTGCAGCTCCTTGGAAACCCTATGGGGCAGTTCTACTCGTCCTATAGGATTGCCGAGTCAGAATCAACTCCACGGCAATGGGTTACACACATATACACGTACACACGCACACTCAAGTACCTGGATGGTACAAACGGTTCATGCACTTGACTACTAACCAAAAGGTGTATCAGAAGAAAGGCCAGGGGATCTACTTCCGAAAAATCAGCCATTGAAAACCCTAGGGAGCACAGTTCTACTCTGACACACGTGGAGTCTCCATGAGTTAGAATGGACTCAATGGCAACTGTTTTTGTTTCTTTTCCCATATATATATACACGTCTTTGGAGAAATAGATACATGAATATTCAACTACTTCTTAATAGGTCTTTGTCTTGTCTTTGCAGCATTAGAATCCTTCAGCCCATTTAGACAGGTGGTGGGTGACTGGGCTGGTGAGGCCAAACTTGATTTTTTTCCACCAGCATCGAGTGATTTTCTTTTGGGGAGATCCCCACCCAAACCCAGGCTCCAAGGGCGGGCACGTGAGCAGGCCGGGTCCACCAGAGTCAGTGCCCAAGCCACTGAAGGGCGGTCTTTGAGCCGCGGCTGAAACTATCAGAAGGGTGTCCCTTTCCATCAGGGCTGCTGATCTAGCAGAATGTCACCCTACAGTTGCTGGTGCTGTCTTTGCCTCCTCGTGGGGAGAGCCTGGAGGATGAAGCTACAGGTAGGACAGACAGAAGCGTGAAGACAGAGCCCTAACAAAACCCAGAGCCAGGTGAGCCTGAAGCTACAGCCTCTGGACTGTTTAGTCAGTTGTGTAAGCCAACAAAGTCTCTTCTGGATTTGGTCAGCTTGAGTGGGGTTTGAGTCTCGGCACCAAATCGTCCTGATTACCCAGGGTGAGCTCTGTCTCCTCTCTTCTTCAGGGGTGAAGATTTCAGGTCAGCTTCTCAGGTGCTAACGCGTGGGGCTCTGATTTTCTTGGGTCCTTGAGGGCTACGGTGAGTAAAATAAAGAGAGGAGGGAAGTGGAGAGACCTAGAGATGGGGCTGGAGGTGGCAGGAGGCTAGGAGAGGCTGGAGAGGGAATGATGGGGAGAGGGGCTGAGAGCACAGGGAGATGAGGGCCGACAAAGGGAGGCACTCTTTCACCCACCGGTGCTCCAAAGGTGCTTCCTCTGCCCTACTGTTGTAGTTATCTAGTGCTGCTATAATGGAAATACCTCAGGTGGATGGTTTATACAAAGAGAAATGTATCCTCTCACAGTCTAGGAGGCTAACAGTCCAAATTCAGGGCACCAGCTCCAGGGGAAGGTCTGTCAGCTCTGGGGGAAGGTCCTTGTCATCATTCTTCCCTGGTAGAAAAGCTTCTCAGCACAGGGACCTCGGGTCCAAAGGACACACTACTCTCCTGGATGTTTCTTGGTGGTAGGAAATAGCTCCCCATGTCTCTCTGCTCATTTCTCTTTTACATCTCAAAATAGAGTGACTTAAGACACAACCTAATCTTGCAGATTGAGTCCTGGCTCATTAACATAACTGCCTCTAATTCTGCCTCGTTTATATCATACAGGTAGGATTTACAACACATAGGAAAATCCCATCAGATGACAAAATGGTGGAGAATCACACAATACTGGCAATCATGGACTTGCGAAGTTGACACACATTTTTTGGGGACACAATTCAATCCATGACAATTCCTCTGTCACGGTCCTGGCACAGTGCCCTCCCGGGGCCTGTGTCTTTGCTGGGCTTACCCCCAGAGCCCAGCCAGGGCCTGGCTTACTGTTAGCTCTCAAACATTTGTTAAGGAAATGGATGGAGTGTCTCCATGATGACGGCTACAACCTTCCATGCACCTCCACACTTGTTGTCCCCCAGTGGACAGCAGCTGTCAGCCCCAGCCGGCACGGACTGTAACGTGCCCTGACCACCAAACTCTAATTCCTGCAGAAGGCCGCTCCCAGAGGATGCAAAGGAGAGGTCTCGAAGCTGGAAGAAAAGTAAGGAAGGCAACAGGAAACACTTGGGCTGGAACTAGATTCTGAGAGGAGAAATGTATTCATTGCTGGGGGGGAACCCTAGAGGCAGCCTCAGCCACACCCCCTTGGAACACCACTACAAGGGATCGAAGGACCAGACAACAGGACACTCTGTAATGACATGGAGGAAGGGCTTCACAGCAGGCAGAATCGGGCCAATCATGCCCTGGCTGGTGCTAAGGGTTCCCCAGAGCCTCCTGCTGGCCATGCCTCACATGGGGTGGAGTTGGCCATGGGACCCTTCTTGCCCTGGGTGGTGGGGAACTGAGGTAGGAATGGCTTCCTGAAAGCTCCTGTGGGATTGGGCAGGCTGGAACTGGAGCCCCAAGCTGAGGAAATGGCCTTGGTCTTAGGTCAGGTGGCAATCACCTCCTCTCTTAAAGCCTCCCCTCCCACCGGCCCCAGTCCTATCCACAGCCTGAAACCCAGGGGCCTTGTTTATTTTTTTTATATAGTACTTAATCAGGAAGGAAACCCTGGTGGTGTACTGGTTAAGAGCTATGGCTGCTAACCAAAACGTAGGCAGTTCAAATCCAACAGGCGTTCCTTGGAAACCCTATGGGGCATTTCTACTCTGTCCTACAGGGTTGCTATGAGTTGGAAGTTGGAATCGACTCAACAGCAATGGTTTTTTTTTTTTTTTTTGGTTAATCAGGAAGTCAGAGGAATCAACAAAGCAAGGGGCTCTGATTTAAAAAAAAAAAAAAAGAAGAAAAGCCAGCAGGCAGTCCCACTACACACCAGCAGGGCTAACACGAGAAAGATGGGAAACAGAGGTGCTGTTGAGGGTACAGGGCGACCGAAGCGGTCACACACAGCCGGGGGGAATATTAATTAGAATAGCCACTTTGGAAAACTGGTAAGTACTAAAGCTAAATATGTTGTTAGGTTGAGTCGGCCCCGATCCATGACAACTCCATGCACAATGAAACCAAACGCTGCCTGGTCCTGTACCATCCCCATGATCAGCTGTGGATAGAATCCCTGTGATGGCTGATTGTTGGCTGACTTTTGGAAGTAGATTGACAGGCCTTTCTTTCTAATCCGCTTAGTCTGAAAGCTCCACTGAAATCTGTTCAGCATTGTTATGGACTAAATTCTGTCCCTCAAAAATATGTGTCAACTTGGCTAGGCCATGATTCCCAGTATTGTGTGACTGTCCACCATTTTGTCATCCGATGTGATTTTCCTATGTGTTGTAAACCCTACGTCTATGATGTTAATGAGGTGGGATTGGCAGCAGTTGTGTTGGTGGGGCAGGACTCAATCTACAAGATTGGGTTGTAACTTGAGCCAATCTCTTTTAAGATATAAAAGACAGAAGGGAGCAGAGAGAGAGGGGGACTTCATACCACCAAGAAAGAAGCACCGGGAGCGGATCGCATCCTACAGACTCGAGGTCCCTGAGCTGAGAAGCTCCTAGACCAGGGGAAGACTGATGACAAGGACCTTCCCCCCCGAACTGACAGAGAGAGAAAGACTTCCCTTGGAAATGATGCCCTGAATTTGGACTTCTAGCCTC